GTATTGATTCTTGATCTTCCTTTGACTTATTGTTCAAATGTATTCAGAAATATATGCAATGAGAGAAGTAAGAAATCATGTGCCACGGAATCTCTCCAGCTTAAAGAAAAATCCAGCTGGATGGCCAACCATGTCAGAGGGATGGCTGACGGTTATGCCATGAGCCATGTAATCGGAGAGTATATGGTACTCCCTCCATTACAAAATATAGCGCGCCCACGCTTTTCGAGGTTCAAATTTGACCATAAATTTAACTAACGAGACCGACTGTGGCGGGAGAAAAAATATAATTGCAAAATTCTTTTGAATGCGGATTCACTGGTATAACTTTTGCTTCCACCGCAGTCGGTCTCGTTGGTTAAATTTATGGTCAAAGTTAAAGTACGAGAATAGAGGAAACACTATATTTTGAAACTGAGGAAGTAGTACTAGTGGACTTGCCTTTCTTCTTACGACAGTATGATGATCTTTTGGAAGATACTGTAGCTGGCAACGACCTCAATGATGCTGAAAGCACACGTGGCCAAACGTTCCGAACATTTGAGGTTCTCCACCAATCACTATAGCGCCCCACTATCTAATGAAAATATTCCCTCGCAAAGAGACAACAGTTCACAAATAACAGTGTCAATACCATGACAATTGTGTATTTTACGGGGAAAAAACACCACAAAAAATATGTAATGAATGGGGTTGTTCTACACTCAGGTACCCATGATGAAAGTACAATTAAAACAAACAGCGTAAAAATACATTTAAATTCTGGAACTTTGTAGTTTCGGTTATGACCAAATGTCGTAGGCTCTTGCAAAAATTTCTGGCCAAAAGATAATCGAAGAGCTCCCTACACAAAATAACAAAATTGGTGCTTAGATTTTTGTGCATTGTTGAGCAGCATATTTGTTTTGTCTGTTCCGCCAAGTGATCCACATTGAAGATACCATTGGAGCAAGTATAAGAATGTGACATAGGCGGACTGTAAGACATTAAATATTATATTTTTGCTTAGTTGTAGGAGAGAGAAAAGAAGCGGGCTACAGATCAACAGCCGGCTGCAGCATGTGCTCTTAGGGACTATCTGAGAGAGTGGAGTGGACCATGTATCAATAAAATAGTGCATATTTACATCAAACTATTGTACTTGTAGAGCATCTCCAACAGGCGCCGAACGCGCCGCGCGCAAAAAACTGGTTTGCCGCGCGCCCATCGCCTGATTTGGCGCCGCGCGCAGCGCTGGCTCCAGTAGTTGCGCTAAAATACAGCGCGCGCGTGCCGCTCCAGCAGCGCGCAAAAAATGCAGCGCGCACACAATATTTTTTTTATTTTTAGATAAATCGGAAGCATAGATAAATAAAAACTAGATAGATTGCATAAATAAAAAACGATACAAAGGTATTTTACATCGGTGCAACTAGATGGATAGTTCGAAAGCATAGATAAACTACAACGCAACTAGATAGAAAACTACTCCAAGTCGCTATCCTCATCACCATCATCATACTCGTCGGTGTCGTCCGAGGTATCGAGCCATATGTCCAACCAACGATCGTCGTTCTCCGTGAAGAACGACCTCCCACCTGCTGCAACGATATCCGACTGCGCATTCGCCAATGCCTTCCGCCGACGCCTCTCCACCCGCGAATTGCGGCGCCTTCGCGTGTCCTCCTCGCGGCGCCTTGCCCAGTAGGATTGCTCGTAGGCGACGTCTTCCGGGTGGCGCCGGCGCCACTCCCCCATGACCCGCTCGTCCTCCTGGGCGAGGAGGAGGCGGCGCTGCCGCTCAGCGTGCTCCGCACAGTCTTCTGCCGTGTTAAGACGAGCCGGCGGGGCGACGTCCAGCGCCTGCTGGAGCGTGTAGACGTCCTGGAAATTCATCTGCCCGCGCGGCCTGCCTAGGCGCTATGCCGCCGCGTCGTACGCGCGGGCGGCCTCGTGTGCATCTCGTAGGTGCCGAGGCCGAGCCGGAGTTCGCCGGAGCATATCTCGGAGTAGTAGCCGCCGTTGGGGCGCAGGCGGACGCCGCGGAAGCCCGACGCTCCTCGGCGGCGCGGCGGCATGGTGGCGCGTCGGGTGGCGGGGCGCTGGAGCGGTGGAGGCGCGCGTGGCAGAGGAAGAGGAAGAGGCGCGTGACAGAGGCGTGTGGCAGAGGAAGTGGAGAAGGCGCGTGGCGAGCGCCGCATTTTATAGGGGCGCCGGAAGCGGTGCACCAAACATGGCGCGCGAGCGGCCGCCTTTTCGCGCGCGCGCAAGTGGTTCCCACGCTCGCGAGTTTCCCGCCATCGCTGGAGCGTGGCAAAACGTTCCGCGCGCGCTAAAAGCTGGGTTTACCGCGCGCGCGTCTTTTCACGCGCCTGGTGGAGATGCTCTAACTATAAGATTGGCCATAGATGACGTAGAATACATATTTATACAATAAAGTTCACATACATGTCTTTTCAACGGTATATTATTTGAACTTAAACCGTATGGAATGTTGGAAACAAATTCAACATGAAAAAGGAGCGGATTTGAAGTAGCTTTCCAAGGACATCTCATTTGCGCCATTCCCATAAACCATTAGAAAATGAGGTAAAAAAAATGCAATTCCTGTTTTTGAATATGAAAAGCACATTTCAAAAACTGCTCTTAACCCGTGAGGACTCTGCAAAAACTATCAACATGAGAAGTGATCGCCTTGTGCATAGCTTTTCAACAGTATATTACACGCTTTGTTCCGATAAAATTGCAGAAGTTAATGTTTCGTCGGATTCAGTTCGGGTACTAAGGCAGAGACTGTTCGATGCTATTAAGAGATATAATATTCTGCGAGTAGCAACATAATAGCTCTGACGTGTGTGTGTGTGTGTGTGTGTGTGTGTGTGTGTGTGTGTGTGTGTAGTAACAAAGTAGCTAGTTCCAACATTAATAGAGTGTCAACCGCAAAAATAAAATAAATAATAGAATGTAATATGTCATAGTATAACACACAAGTATATCTCATTTTCTCACTATTTAAACAAGCGCCTAGCTACACTGGATGCATAACACCTTGATTAGCTTAACACCTAGTTATATCCAACAAGTAGCTCCATGCGAAACCTCACGTCAGTTTCAGCCACGACATTCTGCCGAGCAGAGTATCGATGAGACCAAGAAGTGATGGTGGAATTAGATCCATGCACAAACCTCACGTCAGTTTTAGCCACGACATTATGCCAATCAGAGTATGCATGAGACCAAGAAGTGATGCTGGAATTAATCGGCCCTTTCGGTCTTAGCACAACTGCATTTGGCACACACATGAATTTCAGAGAATGAGAGTGGAGGTTGTGTAGAGTTTAGTCTCACTCCATCCATGAACAAAGGTATGCACCATCCTATAAGGGGAGCTCTCGTGCTCCCTTTGGATAGCCATGCTACATTACACCACCCATGTATTCATATAGCGCATGTGCTCGCGAATATAGCCGCGACTTAGAGTCACGTGTGTGTGTGGTGTAAATAAATCAATATCACCATTCACTTTTTACGAGCAGTGATATTCTTTTTGGAGCATCATCTAGTAGGTAACAGCAGACAAAGTCAAGCCGCCAACAAAGTCAACCCTGAAATTGCAAATCATATATACATGAACATGGATCCCGAACATACGGAATTGCTTGGATTTCAATGACGGGAAGAAGTGAGGGAAACATTGTTCTAAATGAAACATAACAGAGCACCCCAATCACATGGTTTTCTAGCGGAATTTTACGAGTCTACATGCACATTCCAAAAACCACACACATCATCCTTTGTAGATAATTGGGACAAGCCATCATACATCATGACAATCTCTCTTATCTTGCGTACATGCACATCCGGTTCCCCTTACCTCCTGCCGCCAGTGCAATTGAAAAACGGTGAGCGGGAGAACAGAGGATCTCGGCGACGGTTGGTAGGGCGATACCAATGGACCGGGATAAAATTCCCTACCGAATCAGTGTCATAAATTTGTGGCGTGAAAAAAAACAATTCAAAATTCTAAGGGTGGACGAGAGAAAGGGCGAGGAGCTAGCACCTGAAACACACCTGATTACTAGTTGATTTTTATCTCGTACATGTGCAAGTGCCTAGTTGTTGTATGATGGAGCGCCGCACAGCCACCGTCGCCCCTGGCCACCGGTCCACTGTAGCTGACTAGATTATCCCTCAGTGTGCCATGCCAACTAGTCTGGCCTTCTCGGCCTCGAGCTCAAGTGTTTCTTTCCTTTTCTGATACCGGAAATTCACTAATGAATCAATGTCGTAATTCTTATAGCGTGGCTCGCCCCACCCTACACCCTACTGGATTCGCGTCCGCTCATCAACGGAAACCGACGAAAACCAGGTGAACCTGCCTGGCTTGGAAATATGTGGCTTTCTTTTTTGGCAGGAGGTAAATATTCGATTGGTCAGTGCGCTAGCTACCTAGTACTACTTTCTTTCTCTCAACTTTTAGTACAAAGTTGAGACGTTTATTTTGGGACGGAGGAAGTAATAGCTAGGGCGTGCAGTGGACGTGTGGCTCCATCACGTTGGATCTTTGTGCGTGTAATAGGCAATCAGATTCTCAGTTGATTGTGGATTTTGCCTACCAAATTCGCCCTTGAAAGGAAAAAGTAGTCTTGCTTCTTTGGCCACCTAGTACCGATCAATCTGGTCCATCGGATCTGCTGGCTGGACGGACTACATTCGCCCATCGTCCCTGTCGTGGAGTACCTCTTTTCTGAAGTGACCCCTCGCACTAACCGTTGGTGTCACCTGGTCACACGTCGATGGTTCACCCTTAGCTACCAGCAAGCTAGCGCACTGGCCGAATAGTTTTCGGCGTCGACGGCGACTCCGCACTACATAGTGCGTGGAGTCGCATCGGCAGAATCCTCAGGTAATGCCACGGCTGGACGTCGGACTGGAGAACGCTAGCCGTCCTTAAATACCGCGCACATGGTAGCTCAAACGGCACACAAGTCCGGCGAGCATCTTTCTGCCCGGACGTCCTCATGGCCGGCCACCGGAACAAGGCCTCCTGGTCCTCCGGCCTCTGCGGCTGCTTCGACGACGTCAGCGGCTGTAAGCTTAACTTGATCTCTCCTGTTCATCTGGAGCAGCGCTGGTACCTGATATATGACTTGAATAGTATGATACATCCTGAGAAAAGCAGTTCTACCATGCGTGGGACATCTGATGCAAGAATCTACCATCCACCGTGTGCTTTGAGATTTATGCTATAATCTATGGGTTTGCAAAATTTTGTCTGGTTTCAGAGTGTTAAATTATGTTCCTTTTCTTGTTTTAACATGTATTCTAGTGTTTCACTGAGTACCGTTGTGTGCTAGTGAATGCAGTCCAAAATATGCAAAATATGCACTCTTATTTGTTGGTACATGATGGAACTTTACAATATACTTTTGAACAAGAAAATAACACGTTGAAACATTATATAACACTCTGAAACAAACTAAATTTTGTAAAAGCCCAAAACTATCGCACAAATCTCAAAGCAGTGGTGGACGGTGGACCACTGCATGGGATATCCCTTGCACGGTTGAAAAACACCTATGATACATTATTATAAATAGAAACAAGAAAAAAAAACCTGATAAAACTATATAAAATCTGAGACAAGTGGGCTTCTTCTAACAATCTGTGCGTCATGTGCATGTTCAGGCTGCCTGACCTTCTTCTGTCCATGCGTTGTCTTTGGGAGGATCGCCGAGATTGTCGACAAGGGAGCCATATGTGAGTTCTTTCTTGCTCCCCATGAGAAAAATACAACAACTTGTGTTTCTGCTAATTGCTGAATGATAATTTGGTCGGGTGTCCGGATCAATGAATGAATGAACCCATTGCTTCTCTTCTCAGCGTGTTGTGCGAGTGGGACAATGTACGTGATGCAGGCCTTGGGGACGACGGCGATAGGCTCCATATTCTACCACTGCTGCTACCGTGCCAGGCTGCGGGTGGAGCATGGTCTGGAGGAGAAGCCATGCGCCGACTGCTGCGTCCACACCTTCTGTGGATACTGCGCCCTCTGCCAGGAGTACCGCGAGCTTAAGAGTCGTGGCTTCGACATGCACGCAGGGTGGCACGCAAACATGGAGAAGATGGGGAAGACCGTCGCGCCCCAAATGAACCAGGGGATGACTCGTTAGTCGAATGAATGCACTACAAACAGTTACCCTCCTCTATATATCCGGGCGGGGGAAGTCAACGTCGAGCTACTTGTTCATTCTTGCTTTTTCATCCATATATGTGCTGGCGTGCTTACCCGTTGCAAGCCGTTCTCCGACCAACCAGCCACCTGACCACCTCCCACCATGTGTCACCATGTGTCAAGTCTATGTTCAACTTTCAATAAGACATGCTATCATGAAAAGAGTCTTGCGTATTTATTAAGGAATCTCCTAATGGATTTTATATCATCTGGATATGTTGAAAGAAGCCCAATTGTCTCAGATTTTATATAGTATTATCAGCTAGTTTCTTATTTCTATCCAGTGTGTATCATAAGTATTTTTTGTACCGTGCAAGGGATATCCCATGCACTGATCCATCGTCCGCCACTGCTTTGAGATTTGTGCTACCATTTTGCTTTTGGACAAAGCTTGGTTTGTTACAGAGTGTTATATAATGTGCCGTTGCCTTATTTTCTTTTTTCAAAAGTGTATCATAAATTTTCATCATGTATCAACAAATAAGAGCTCCTATGTTTTAGATTGCATTTTCTAGTACACAATGGATCCATACGTGGTCGTTGCTACACCATGCAGAAGTGCAGGAGCTTATGATATATGGTTTTGGGAGATGGTAGCACGGGATACATACAACCAATTTGGATTAGGTCTAGTAGTAGGCTATGTTTCTAGGCATATATCCCTATTTTTGCGGGTTGTGGCTTTATTTTTATTTGTTTGGCAATTTTGTACTTCACTAGTGGAACTTCTTACTTGGTTAATAAATATATAGTTGTATGCATCGCAATGATGCAGAAGCCTGGGGATATCCTCGTTTTCTAAAAAAGAAGTGTGTTGATTATCTCAATACAAACCAGCAATACAAATGGCATAGAAGAATTTAGTTCTTACCTTATGATGGAGCTTGAGATGAAAGAATTGAGGTAAAAAGATGCTCTGCTCAGGCTACAGCTTGAGGACCTTCCAAAGGAGTTCTAGTTCACCAATATGCATATATAGACATGGTTCTTCAAAGATTTAATATGCAGAAATGTCACCCTCTTAAAACCCCAATGGTTGTAAGATCCCTTGATGTGGATAAAGGTCCCATTCAAACCTCGAAATGAGAATGAGGAAGTCTTGGGACCCAAAGTTCCATATATGAGAGTCATGGGAGCACTAATGTACCTTGGGAATTACACTCGGCCACACATTGTGTTTGTGGTCAACTACTAGGCATGTATAGTGCAGTCCCAACATGAAGGCATTTGCTAGGCGTCAAAACTATCTTCAGATGCCTCCAGGTACTCATGATCTTGGATCTTGTTACTACAAGAACCAAGACTTAACTATCATGCAGTAGATAAATTTTGATCCCGATAGTGCTATATCTCATACTAGATTTGTGTTTATGTATAGTGTGACAACGATTTCTCATAGGTAATATAAGCAGAACAACGTAGCCAAATGTACTAACCACTTAGACATAGTTGCTTTATATGAATCCTCACATGAATCCATTGGCTCATATGGATAACTAACCTCATCAAGAAGTCACGTGGACTCAATATCGTCAACACCCCCGCAATTATTTATGATGAAACTGCCACTTCCGTTATACAAATTCAATGTTATGAACAATCTCACTAGCATATGGCTCCCTAAATTCTCTACCCTCGTGAGCTCTAGAAGAGAGGGAAAGTGAAGACCTTACAAACTAAACTATGTGATATTCTTGTTGATCTACAAAGTCTCTACCGGCTAGCATCCTATTTTGAAATATGTGCCTGCCGCATTGATA